AGGAGGAGGAGAGGAAGAGAAGGAAGAAGAGGAGGAGAAGGAAGAAGAGGAGGAGATGGGGAGGAGAAGACAATCCAAGTAATACAAAGGAATGTAGGAAAGGAGAAGAAAGTAAGAAAGAGTATCACCATAGTTAGGCACATTTACTAATCAATTAAGGCCAGGTTTTCTTTGGTACATTTGCCCCTTATGTTGGCAGATCAGGTGAAGACCAGAGCTGGGGGGATTGTGGGGGTCTATGGGCAATGCTATGCACCAGACAGAATGGAACAATTATAATTTCTGACAACTGATAGGGCAATACCATTGTATTCTGTATGAATATCAGCCCCAAAGGCATATATGGGATTTCTTTGTTTTTCCATTAAATTAGGAGGTGTTGGGAACACAGGAATTAAGCTAGTTGCTGGTAACTCACACCTGTAATCCTAGCTACTCAAGAGGCTGAGATCTGAGAATCAAGGTTCAAACCCAGCCCTGGCAGGAGTCTGTGAGACTGTTATCTCCAATTAACTATCAGAAAACCGGAAGTGGTACTTGTAAAGCTTTAGGCGAGGGAAGAACATGCAGGAGGAGGAAAAGGTGAAGGAAGGAAAGTCTCATTGGGGTATGCTCCTGGGCGAACTCCCTGGTCAGAATCAGATTGGGACAGGTGGTGTATAATTTGGACAGGTGGTGTATAAGGAAGTAGCTTTTCTCCCTGCCTCTGCCTCCAGTGGCCAGTGAGTACTGTGACTCAAAGTAGTAGAGAACTGGCTGGAGCATTGACTCCCATCTTACACCCACAGGTCAAGCAAAACACCAGGTATGCACTCACTGCTTGTCCCCAGGCAGGTCACTCTGACCTGGGCTTAGCTGAAAGTCTCCCCAGGCAGGATATTCCACGCTGTACCTAACAGACAGTACCCGCCCTTTGCCCTCCTCCCCCTCCAACTTCAGCCTGATTTTTTCATTTTTACTTCTGTTTCCTTGTTAAGATCGCTGTAAGCCAGACCCCAAATCCAGTCCTTCACACAATCTCCATACTTGGGGGAAGGTCTGTGCCTCTCACTGGCAATAAACAGTCCTAGACTGTTGAAGATCAAGTGTGGTCTATTCCTTTTCTATTCTCATCTATTTTGCTGACAGTAGTCTTGAGCAAAACAGATCATGGACAGTGGCCTAGGCTCTGAGTTCAAGCCCCAGAACTGACAAACAAAAAAAAATAAACAAGAAAATACTCTAGAATTTTCTTATTTTCTTTCTTTCTCTCTCAAGGTACTATTGAGCACAGGGCCAGTCATAATGATTGGTCTTTATCTGTTGACCAGATCAATTTAAGAGAGATTCTAATGATACAGCTTTATTGAATGTGATCTCTCTTTTATGAGGCAGGGGCAATTATTTCCCCTTCTCTGACTCCAAGTCTGTGCCAGTTTGAGCAGCCATGAGCCTGGGTGATCATGTGGACATTTACAGATCTCTTGGAAGATTACCTGAAACCAGGCTCAAAGACCTTGTAAATGTCATAATTGCAACTGGAACATGGCAGTTAGAACATTAACTTTGGTACAGTTTGTCTCACTCTGCATTCCTTGCAGACTTCCTTGCAGTGTCCTCTGCCCACTGGCTGTGAGGACCTGGGCCTTGGCTAGTCCCACTGTGGTACCTCCTTGTCCTTTAGTACCTTGCAAGGATCAAGGCAGATTCCACATGTTTGTTGAAAATAAATAGCAGGGTGAGAACAGTTAGTGGTGACTCAACATTCTGACCTTGAAGGGCTTCCAGGCAGGAAATCCTATGCCATTGGAAATCCTGTACCTCTCTGTGTGTGTGTGTGTGTACTGGGGCATGAACTCACAGCCAGGGTGTACTCTCTTAGCTTTGACAAAGATGGTGCTCCACCACTTGAGTCATGGCTCCCCTTCCAGCTTTTTGGTGGTTAATTAAGAATCTCGTAGAGTTTCCTGCCCCAGCTTTGAACTGCAATTCTCAGGTCTCAAGTTCCTGAGAAGGTAGGATTATAGGCATGAGCCTCGGCACTTGACTCCATAGGATTCTTTTTAAACAGAGCATCTACAGAAAAGTGGGTTATCAGAGGCTCATCTGGGGGCGCTGTGAGGGGAAGAGGGCAGGTGCTGGAATCTAGGCAGAGGACCTGGGTCAGCACTAGGTAACATTCTTGCAGTAATCTCCTGGGCCCAAACAGAGCGATAGGTGACACTAGCAACTCCAGAGCAAGAAAGGGACATGGGGAGGTGTTTTATTTATTATTTATTTATTTATTAGTTAGTGGTGGGGCTTGAACTCCAGGCGTGGGCACTGTCCCTGAACTTTCCTGCTCAAGTACTCTCTCACTTTAAACCCATAGTCTACTTCCAATATTCTGTTAGTTGATTGCAGGTAAGAGTCTCATAGACTTTCTTGCTCTGGCTTTGAATCTTAGATCTCAACCTTCTGAGTAGCTAGGATTACAGGTTTAAGCTACCAGAGCCTGGCACGCGGGGAGGTTTTGTTGGGGGTCTTCATGCCTACATTCTGAGTCCCGTAGGCGTCTACATGGTACAGGGATAGTTGCCAATCCTGGTGGGTGGGTGTGGGGAGAGCATCTTTCTTGCTCTCTCAGACCCTGGGTTCCTCTTCTGCTCTGGGAGGTGTTTTCTTCATGCTACCCAGGAGTTCTTAGCCTTGCTTTCTCCCCATACCCACCCACTCATGTCCAAAACGTACAGTTCCACAGAGAACAAAAAGTGCATGTGGATGTGCTTGGGTTGCAGAAACTTCAGGAAAGACTGGGCTGCCAGAACCTGGTGGAGGGGGGAATGGAGGCAGCTTCACTTCCCACCCCATCCAGCCCTGCTAGTCACCTGGGTCCTTCCAGCTCCAGTTCCCCACACCTTTGAAATACAAATAGCATTGGAAGCTCCCCGCTACAGTTAGAAATAAGCAGTCAAATGTCTTCTGAGGAGCTTGATTTAGAAATATCTTTTGAGGAGCTTGATTTAGATGGGGCGGGGAGGGCCTTCCTTAAGAAGAACCAGGTCCATCTTGCCATGCCAAGGATGCAGTGGGAACACACACACACACACACACACACACACACACACACACACACACACTGTAACTTTGTTTTGTAAACAATACATTTGGGTAAGTATACATAACCCTGTTTTGTAAACAGTACATTTGGATAAGTATGCACAAAATGTTCACTTATAGAGTTTGTTGTAACCACAGAAAGATCCAGATATATACATTTAGAAGAGACTTGGGACAGTGAACAATTAATCCTTTTTTCCCCCCAGTACTGGTCCTAGGGCCGGAACACAGGGCTTGGGTGCTATCTTAAAATGTTCTTTTCTTTCTTTTTTCTTTTTGGTTTCATTTTGTTTATGTGGTACTGAGGAATAGAACCCAGGGCCTCTTGTATGCTAGGCAAGCACTCCACCACTAAGTCACACTCCCAGCCCAAAAGTTTTTGTTTGAAAATCTTGAAATTTTCTTGAATCTTGAATCTTTGAAATTTTCTATTGCTCTAGCACTTTGAGCCATACATAGCTCCACTTTCGGTTTTCTGGTGGTTAATTAGAAATAAGAGTCTCATGAACTTTCCTGCTCAGGCTGGCTTCAAACTGTGATCTTCAGATCTCAGCCTCCTGAGTACTTAGAATTATAGGTATGAGTCACCAGTGTTGGCACTAACCAATTTTTAAAACTTATTTCTAAAGTATTTTATAATAATCATATATTCATATATTATATGCATCAGCTTTTTTGGGGAGGGGGTAGGTCATGGGGCTTGAACTCAGGGCCCAGGGACTTTATCAGAGCTTTCTGAGCTCAAGGCTAGTGCTCTATTAATTTGAGTCACAGTACCAATTCCAGTTTTTAGTTAGTTAATTGGAGATAGGAGTCTCATGGACTTTCCTGCCAGGGCTGGCTTTGAACCACAATCCTCAGATCTCAGCCTCTTGTGTAGCTAGGATTACAGGGATGAGCCACCAGCAATTCTGGCAACATCATCTCTTTTTTTTTTTTAAATAAAGAAATAGTTTTAGAACAGTTGAATTTAGAAAAATTGTGAAGATAACACAAGAAGTTGCCATCAAATCCATTTCACCTGATATTAACACCCATTAGCATGTTGTTTCCCTAGAATGGAATGAACCAATATTGATGTGTTAGTAATGTTTTATTAAGATAGCTTAAGTTTTTACCTAATATATTTCTCCCCAGTATACTATATTTAACTGTTTCTTTAGATTTTTCTTTCTTTCCACTAGTGGGTATTGAACTCAGGACCTCATGTATGCTAGGCAAGCACTCAGACCACTGAGCTCCCAGAGTTTAATATTTCCTTCAGAGTCCTTTTGGTTGTGATAGTGTCTCAGACTTCCTTTTTGATGACTGACAGTTTTTGGGAGCACTAGTCTGTATGCTGGAGCAGTTCCTCTCTTGGGGTTTGTCTGATGTGCATGCATGAGTGCACTGGGGTTTTGTGTTCTGGTGGGGAGACCATCACTCTCAGGAAGCTCCCCCACCCCCTCCCATACTGCCTGTAACCTTCTTAATGTGGGACGTTTCCTTCACTTTAAAAAGAGCCACTAACGACATGCACGGACTGAATGCCTTCTACTCTTGCAGCCCAGGGCAGAACAGGGCCCAGGTGGGGTCGGGGCGCTGCCCAGGTGCCTCCCCGATTAGCCCTAGGCAGCTGAAAATCCTGGGCATCCAGGTAGCAGATGGAGGGAGGTCTTTCCTGCTGGCCACGCCCATGTCACCGCCCAAGCCACGCCCCGGAAGGCAGCCACTGACACGTGGGGGCGTGACCAGAGCCCCAGGAGCAGCTCCGCAGTCGCCCGCATGGGGGGTGTGGTCTGAATAGGCCCCGCCCCCACAAGAAGGCCCGCGGCTCCACGTGGGGGCGTGGTGAGGTCAGACTCCGCCCCGGGGCACGTGGGAGCGGCCGCACCCGGGAGTTTTCCGCCTGCGGGGCTCCGCCTTCCCGCCCCTCCCGAGGACGGGCGCGTCGCCCTCGGGTCGCGGGTGTCGGAGAGCGCGAGTGAGAGGGAGTTCGCAGCAGCACCTAGGCGTCCGTCCGCGGAGAGCGTCCCGCTGCCCCGGTCCGCGCTTGCTCCTCGCTCCCCGGGCGTCGCCGTCCCCGGGGCCAGGTGAGTGAGGGACCCGGCCCGCGTCCCCGGCCTCTCCCGGCCCCGCGCCCCGCTCGGCCCTGCGCTTCCTGGTTGCTCCGCACCCGGCGGCGCCGACGGCCTGACCGACCCCCCCCCCCCCCCCCACGGCCCGGGTCGGAAGCTCAGGGCCCACCCGGGTGGAACCAGAGACCGTGAGGGAGTTGTGCCGAGTGGGTGCGGGATTTGTGCGCGGGGCCAGCGGACTTCAGGAACTTTCCGAGCGGGGAGGGCGCAGAGCCCAGGTTGCGGTCTGTTCAGAGGCAGGCAGGGTCCCGACTTGGCCGGCCCTCCCTTCCCAGGAGCTCAGGCCAGGCGCTTCAAGGAGAGCTGGGAAGTTCCTCCTCTGAGACTGAGGAGGGGTAGACGCAGAGATGGAGACATTTTCTTCCGGGGCCTGACGGTCCCAATCCCTGGAATCTTCAGTGACCTCTCTGAGCAGATCGGATGTGTGGGGACAGATTCCCCAGTATCCATCCTGGTAGCTGTCGTCTCCCCCGATTCCCTCCACAGGCCTTCCCCTCAGCTGCCCTCTGCTCTGGCCTATCTGCCCTGACGGGCCCACACACCTACCAGGAGAGCCTTGCAGGGCAAGGCCAGCTATTTAATCGTCCTTGCCCTTTGCTGGCTCTCAGGTTCCTTCAGTCTTTTCTCACTACAATCAGTGTCTGGCAGTTCCAGGAAGATTAACGGAGCGCCTTCCCTTCCAGGCCCTGGGTGGGCTCCTTGTGTTTCCTGACCACAGGTGGGAGGGGGGAGTAGGTAAGGCCAGTCTGTTTTCTCACCCTGGATGCCCACTCTGGTGGGCACTTGCATCGCTCACTGATCTCTTAGTATTCTCAGATCTCTGGTTTCCAAATCTAGAGATTTGAAGATGATTCTGTAATTTGTACTATATAGGCTTCCGTAAGGGTTTGCTAAGTTTGTGTGTGTGTGTGTGTGTGTGTGTGTGTGTGTGTGTGTGTGTGTGTGAGAGTGTGTGTGTATTTATTTAGTTTTGTCTGTCATGGAGCTTGAACTCTGGGCCTGGGCACAGTCCCTCAGCTCTTCAGCTCAAGGCTAGCTCTCTACCACTTGAGCCACAGCTCCACTTCCAGTTTTGTGGTGGTTTATTGGAATAAGAGTCTCAAGGACTTACCTGCCTGGGCTTGCTTTGAACTGTGATCCTCAGATCTCAGCCTCCTGAGTAGCTAGGATTACAGGCAAGAGCCACTGGCCCCCAGCCTAAGTTGATATTTTTAACCCCTGTCTCATGCTCAGGTATGACCAGGCCAAACAGGTAGCTACTGTGCAATGTACTTTTGTGAATGTTATTCAGGCATAAAGTGCCCAACGCAGGGACTGGTGTATAAGTAATCAGATACAAGTGCCAAGGAATAGACTGTTATTACCAGTAATAAAGTAAGTCCTCTTTATTTATGGATTTATTACATATGGTTTTGACCAAGCATGATTAAGAAAGAAAGCATTAAAAAAAATCAAAATCTCACAACGAAACTTAAAAATCCCCACACCTGTATGACATTGTCTGCACTGATGCTAAGAAGCTTCCAGTCAGTGCTGAGTGATCGTCAAATTGTGTCTTATTTAAATTGTTGTGTGATCTGCCACGTGTTTCTCTGCCCTTGGCTTTGTCAAAAATCTTCCTCCAAAAAAAAAGCGAGGTAAAAGTTAATGGTGTCTTGTGCCTGTAATCCTAGCTACTCTGGAGCTGAGATCTGAGGATTGCAGTGGAAGCAAACCCCAGGCAGAAAAGTCTGTGAAAAGTCCTGTCGCCAATTAATCACCAAAAATCCAGGAGTGGAGGTATGACTCAAGTGGTAGAGCACTAGCCTTGAGCATAAAAGCTCAGGGGCAGACAAGACCCACAGGCCCTAAGTTAAAGGTACAGAACAACAACAACAAAAAAAGTTAATGTGCTTCACTGGTGAAAACTTGAGGTTTGTTGAAAGGCAGTGTGCTGAGCTTGCATGTTTTTTCCTTGGTGGTCTCCTTGCAACTGTAGACCCGAAGATCTCAAGACTGTATGTAGTTCTTCCTCCTCCTACACAGGAGAAGGTATATCTCCTTATCTCAGCACACACTGCCCTTGTCCTCTCTCCCTCACTTTGTGGACCTGCCTCCTCCCCAGCAGGAGCAGGGGACGTGTTCTGCGCGCGCGCGCGCGCGCGCGCGCGCGCGCACGCACGCACGCACGCACGCACGCACGCACGCACGCACGCACGCACGCACGCACACACACACACACACACACACACACACACACACACACACACACACACACACACACACACACACACACTGCCCTCCTCCACTTCCCTGGCACCTGTCCCAGTTCTCAGGGCTGGCCTTGGGGAGTAGTTGTGCGTCTACGTGTCTTAATCCCTGCCCTGTCCTCTTTTTCTGGAGGGCAGGAGCTATTTCTTAATCATCTCTTGGTCTCTGGAAGATCCCAGTGTGGGCCTTGCTCTGTGAAATGTTTGGGAAATGTCAGTTGAATGAGAGGCAAGCAAAGGAGGTAGTGTTTCTTGGTTAAGTGTTGGCTCTACGGAACAGACAGAGGAAAGAAAGCAGGGAGGGTAAGATGGAAGCAAATCTAGATTCAAAGAGGCTGAAAGGTCAAGTACAACAATTTGAGTTTATTTAGCTAGGACAGGAAGACAGCAAGGGCCCGTTTCCATTTTCCTAACTACAAGGCCAGGGTTAATTTAATGATGCTTGATGATGTGACTAGGGAAGGTAATGGGAAGTTTGAGATGACCAGAAAAGGAACTCAAGATCAAAACAGAAAAGAAACTCATTCTGGGCAAGAATCCATGCTGGGTTCTCTGGGATTTTAGAAGCCCAGCATCTTTTCTTGCTCTTTTTTTTTCCCTGGCTGCTTTCTTTTTCCTTGAGCCTGGAGCGGTTCCTGGTTCTGGGTCCCTTGGGAATGGGTGTGTCTGTGCTTGTGAATCTAAGGCAGGAATTCACTCCAGTGCCTTTGGGTTTTACTTCACTACACCCTGATCCCCCCCCCCCCCCCCCCAGTTCTTTCTCAGATCCTCAGGAATTTGAGTGGTACCTAGATAAGAACATTCTTAGGTAAATGTACAAACCAATAATTTCCATTGTAAAGGAGGTGTTGAACTCCTTTTAGAAAGGAACTTTCTTGCTGCCACTGGAACCAATCCACTTTAGGTTTATTGACCCTGACTCCTGTAACTCAGGAAATAATGGTCTAATAGTGGTTGTTTGCTATGGGCAGGATCCCTGCCTTGATTTTCCCTAGGAAGTAATGTTTGGGGCCAACTGAAGAATCTGGCTGAGTTCTCATCTGTGTGTATGTGGGGGCGGGGGGTGGAGCACGAACGTGTGGACAATCACAGGCCCACAGGGTCCTAATATTCTGAGTGACAAATGGTTGCCTCAAACCGATAATCCTGGGACACTTTGCAGAAGGGGTTTGAGCTCAGTGAGGGGGTGATGAAGAGTGTGTGTTGGTATTGTGGGTGCATTTGTTATAGAACCATGAAGCTTGAGGTGATGTGTGCTGTGGTTAGAGTCTGGCTTTGATCACTTAGTGTCACATTTTCAGGGCCTTTGGAGAAAGGAAGGGCAAACAAGAGAGGGAAGTCAGGATAGATCTGATGATCTGCCTCACCCCTGGGATGGGGGGAGGCTGGCTTGGAGCACTGGGAGATTAGTACTGGGCTACCATTTATTCAGCGGGGTAGAGGGGAGAAATGAAGCTGCTCACAGGGAGGGAGGCAGACATGGCTCATTCAGCCTGGGGTGAAGCATCTCTGGGGAAAAGGTTGTTGGTGAAACACTGCTACTGATAGCAGATGTAAGCTTACTGTGTCCACTAAAAAGGGTATGGCTATATTTTAGAAGTAGCTGACCAGCTGGGCACTGGTGGTTCGCGCCTGTCATCATAGCTACTCAGGAGGTGGCCAGTCAAGGCAGGAAAGTCCATGAGATTCTTATCTCCAGTTAACCAGCCAAAAATGGAAGTGTGGCTCAAGTGGTAGAGTGCTATCCTTGAGTGAAAAAGCTAAGGGACAACACCCAGGCTTTGTGTTCAAGCCCAGTACCAGCACCAAAAAAAAAGAAAAAACAGGTCACAGATTTTCAAGTGAGTTCTTCCTAAGTGAGCCCCTATTGTTTGCCTGGCTCTGTGCTATGGGAACGAAAAGGGAAGACCCGCAAACCCCCCCCCCCCACACACACACACCTCCATAAGACATAGGACACTGGGTCACTGGGTGAGAATGGGGTTTGAAGATGGAGAAATATGTTGCTTCTGAGGTGCCCTAGACACCAGGTAGTTGGGTCTGGGGCACAGGAGTTGTCTGGGTAGATAGACATTATTTATTTTCTTTTTCTTTTTTTTGGTCTGGTAGTGGGGTCTAAACTCTGGGCCTGGGTGCTGTCCCTCAGCTCTTCAGCTCAAGGCTAGCACTCTACCATTTGAGCCACAGCGCCACTTCCGGCTTTTTTCTTTTTGCTTATGTGGTGCTGAGGAATCGAACCCAGGGCCTCAGGCATGCAAGGCAAGCACTGTACCACTGAGCCACCTTCCCAGCCCCTTTATTTTTTTTAAGGAGTTGTACAAAGGGTTTCTGTGTGACATGTCAGTTTATAAGCACCATGCATCTTGATCACTGTCATCCCTTCCATCATTCTCAACCTCGTTCAACCCCTCAAGGACCCCCCCCCCCCCCCCCCGCAATGTACATTTTCACCTATGTACATTGAATGTAATGATGGTATTCACCCACCCTGCCTCTCTTCACTCATCTGCTCCACCCCGCAGCATGTTTCAGCTTCCTGGTGTTCATTATGTTAAACTCTAAGTGTTTTAAACAAGTCACACCATGGGACTCCACCCCTGTATATACCATATTTGTGTCCATTTTTGTACATAGGTATATGACCTCTATCTGTTTTCATACGTTTAGAATGTGGATGTCCCTTCCACTTAGGAGAGAAAACATGTA